GTAATTACATGTATATGTACGACTAAAATATTGTTCGTAAAGATTGTTTGTGGTTTGCAAGCAAGCTTAAATAGTTCCTTCAAATATATATGATAATTCCTTAAACGCTGTCGTATTTCCATTATATTCTGCTTTACGATACCATTTCATTGCCGTATGCAAGTCTCTAACGACACCCCACGAATACTGATAACAATTTCCAAGATTATATTGTGCGGTGGCATGTTGTGTGGTACTCTCAGTCGCTCTTTCAAACCAATAAAAAGCTTTTCGTGTATCTTTGGCGGTTCCAATCCCTGCATGGTAACAATATCCGACCATATTTTTCCCATATACGTTACCATGAAGTGCCGATTGTTGATACCAATAGAATGCTTTTACTGGATCTTCTTCCACGGAAATCCCTTCACGATAGCAATCACCCAATGATAGTTCACCTCCGGAATTTCCAGCCTTAGCGGATTTTTCGTGCCAGTAAAAAGCTTTCGCTTCATCCTTCTCAGTCCCAATACCGGAATAATAACATTTCGCGAGTTCATTCATTGCATCAGGGTTATCACCAAGAGCAGAGGTTTTGTACCAGTTGAATGCTTCTGTAGGATTCTTTTCCGTGCCAATTCCGTCCCGATAACAATCGCCAAGATAAAGTTGTCCATAGGTATATCCACCTTTCGCCGACTTTAAATACCAAGATAATGCGATGTTTTTTTGCACCGGAGTTCCAATTCCCTCGCAAAAACAATTACCGAGATTACTTTGTCCTCCAGCATGACCGTTAGTAGCTGATTGTTTATACCAATAAAATGCTTTAGTCAAATTTTTTTCAGTACCAATTCCCATTTGATAGCACCAAGCTACCTGATTTTGAGCTAAAAAATCTTTTCCTGATTCAGCGGCTTTTAAATACCAGTGAAAGGTCTCTTCACGATTAACTTTTGTCCCGATCCCCCAATAATAAAGAAATGCTAGTAATGAAGAATATTTTAAATCGTCCCGTTGATCGTAAACTTGATTAAATAAATGTTCGGGATCATGTAGGGTTTCATTTAGCCAATGTTCTACTTTCTCAACTATTTTCTCGTCATCTTCGTATGCATCATTTCCCGAGTTAAAAATCGACAAGAGTTGATCAATGGGTGAAGTTTCATCCTGAAAAGTGAGATTTAATGATTGGGTTGATGCTGATGGTGGTGTCATATCCATGAAACTAAAAGTGGTTTCTGTGCGAAAACTTTGTACACTCGATGATAAAGATACTGATGACGAACCGGAGGAATGATCTTTTGTGTTTAACATGATGATATCGTTTGAAGTGTTTTTACTTGGGTCATATAGATCATAATCTTGATTTATGTGAGAATGCTCTATATCGAGATGGAAGAGGTTATCCTGATTTTCAAAATCCATTTTAATATTTATTCGTTTGTTTCTTCTTTACTAAAAAAAAGTTATAATTATTATTTCGACCAAACAAAATACGAAAAGATATTTCAATTTATTATTTCGACCAAATCGATAATTTTGTAGTGATTGTTCTTTATCGCTATCTTGAAAACAAAAGTATTTGTACTGCACTGTACTGTGTATAATTACATGTATTATTTATTATCGTTACGAATTACTGTGTATCATCATACCATTCATTTATTATCTTAGTTAGAATACCTACATTTCTACGGATAAAAAAGCCACATGGTTTCACTAATTATCTTGGCATTGTTGTTTATCATTATTTACACTCCGGTTTCGTGAATTACATAACAAACAGAAACGCAGTTATTAAATTGTACGCTTTTTTGAAAAGTTATTTTTAGCTAAGCGGCTTTTATATTTGTGGTAAAAGCCGAACCATTGAATTATAATTAATATTGATATCGATATTAAATTAAGCGGCTGAATCAAAAGAGGGAATACATTATACATGTTCAAAGTACGGATCGACTTCGAATCAATAGATTCGTTTAACTGCATTTAAGCATACTATACCGATAAAGTATATGCATACATGTAGTTGGACGATGTACATATCTTACGATCAAACCATCTCCACTCCCAATGTATTGTATATGATTATCTTGTGAAATTAGACATTCTAGATTTTATGACGCGCATTATGATTGGAGTCCTCAAGACCAAGAAAATTTTTTTCGATTTACATGTACATGTATAACGATAATGCTGCTTTTGATTCGTTTGAAATACGTATTACATGTACCAACCAACTAACTGAATCTTTGTTTTTTAAACAATATCAACTCGCTTTATATTAACACAATTATGAAAAGGGATGGGATTTCGCCAACTTGTAAGAATTTTCACGGTTGATTTTTAATGTAACAAAAACTGCCCTACTCATTTTGAGCTCATACCCCCCCCCCCCCCTTTTTTTTTGTTTCTAGTCGCACTTTGATGAATTTACATAAATTTACGTGGAATTTGTTACAAATTTTAACAACTTAGGATTTATTATTATTTATTTTATTTAAAATTATTTTTTTGTATCAAATTTAAGTCAACTTTATGCCGAATTTAAGCAGGTTTAACTAACACTAAGTTTATCATCATAGGTTAAAGATTAAAAAAGACGAGTCCTTATCAAATAAGTCGATACTAAAATTAAAAATAATCTATCTCCCCCCGTTACGAAAAAATGCATCTATAGGTTTGGATCATATCGATATTGAAAATTACTATATCCTCTACAGGTCTAAGTGGTGGGTTTGGATCATATTCAACATGCTTTATAACTATATCTACTGTAGGTCTACGATCGAAGTATGATTTTTTTTGACGAGGAGACAAAATCTATTGACTCGATTTTTGCATTTGGAACGAGATAAAAAAGTTGTTAAATCCTTTTAAGCTGTGAAGGAAGGATTTTTTAAATGGATGTATTTAGAATAATAATCTTCACTTGGAATTTGGAAAAAGCGGATATGTCGTATGCAGTCTTGCACAACTTCTCCGAATTTTTGCAATTCCGGTTCTCAACCTTTCCGTTAACGGGCCATCTTCCATTTGTGCAATTCCCCATTTCACAAGCGAATCCCAAATCTCAATTTCTGGCATCTCTAAATCATTTAGATTTAACAAATCAATCAAGAAATTTTTCTCTATCGTAGTAAAAATTTTGATTTGAAAATCATGTTTGGTACAAATATCATTGATCTTTTTGCAAGATTCGATCTTTGATAAGAGTTGATGAATCTGTTTCTGATTCAGGACTTTCCATCCAAAGCATCCACACAATCTTGGATGTGAGTAATTAACGGCTGACAAGAATATCAACTAAGTCTTCGTCATCCAACGAAAAATCCAATTTTTCTGTGTACATATAACTGGAAACAACAAATTTGCATTCATGAGTATGTCTTTACCTATTTTGATTATCATTATTAGGGTTGTTATTGGAGTGTTCCAGTTTATATTAAAACATAGAACCCACTCTGAGTAACTCCAAATAACTCTAAGCGTTATGTAGAAATGTATTTCTTGGAGGATTTTTTCAAATATTTTTGGTCGTATATTCGGTTTTTCCATTGTGATAATTCTGTCTGATTGACGAACCCACAATCAAGAAAGAGCAGTTTTGAAATATTGAGATCTCGCTCGTAGAATCACCGAATGTGCGGGAAAATGAATGTCATCGTCTTGTCCTACTTTGATTGTTACATTATAGTCTTCGGATTTATGGAAAAGCGATGAGATATCAGTTACTAAGCAAAATTTCAGACATTTGCAGTATTTGAGGGATGATTTTCTGAAAGCTGTTAAATACAGAATTTCAATAACGATAGCACAGACTGTGTAACGGTAACAAAAACCTAACCATACCGATACCAAATTAGTTAATTTGAAAGCGAACATCGTGGTATCGCAGTTTTCCTACGAAGTTCTGTGCAAAATTTCGAACCTGAAGGTGATTGATAAAGTAATTTCTTGCTTTTGCAAACTTTTTTAAAACTCATGTGCGGGACTGCAAATATAAATTTTTGAATTTTTGCACAGAAATTCAATGGCATAAAATTAACAATTAAAAAGGTTAATTTAAAATTTTTACAATGTAGTATTAAAATTATTCAAAGTAATAAATTATGCTAATTTTTGTTATTGGCAAATTTAAATTAAAACCCCCATTGTTTTGACCATAAAATTTGCAGGTTTTATTGATTCAGATTGTGACTTTACCGATACCTAAATATACCGTAAAACGCGCCGTATACAGTAATACCCCTCCCCTGTAAAAAATTTAAAATTTACACTCTAGTTTAACCTCAATGCTTATAAATTATTAACTAAAATTTTTAGGAAATTACACTATGAATTTAAATTTATTTTATTTGCGAAACAAAAAATTAGTTCTATTAAAATTGCATGTTTAATTTTTTTTACTATACAGAGCGCTTTATGTTAGTGACGATGTACAAATAATATCGTTAGTAGAAATTTCGCATCTAATTGGTTTAGCAATCAAAGATCAAAAATACAGCCTTTTATTCATTTCTGTTACTAATATGATGGGACTTTATTTATGACAAAAAAACTTCAAATGTATATTGGATACTAATAATAATAACGATAAATATTGATAGTAATAATAATAAATATTGAAAAGTTTAACAATAACGAGAATACATAATTCTGCATAACAAATTACAACTACCGAGAAAATAAAAAAGTCTAAAAGCATTTACGATGGACAATGGATGGTCCAGATTCGTCGTATTCTTGTTTGCTAATCCACATTTGTTGGA